ATCACTGTTTCTAGGCTAGAAAAGTCACAACTAATGGAGTTTCTTGATAGTATAGCTCTCTCAGAAACTTTGGAGACTTCTTTTTAATTACAGTTCTTTTTCAGAGCACATTTGTTAGTCACTGGCTTTATATTCTTCGGCTTAATGTCTACTTTTAAACTCTCAGGCTTCTGTTGGCAAGTGTAAGGCATTTTCATCAACCAAAAGAATTTACATCTCTTTCCTTCAAGGGTTTTCAGAAGTATTATGTGGGAATGATGCATGAAAAAAATAATCCAAGTTATTGGTGGCTTAATCTGCATTTATTGCTTGCTCAGGCATCTACAGGTTGGTTCTGTGGCACTGCTCCAGATCATGGGGTCAGATTCAGAATATGTTCAGGTTCAGGTTCAGGTTTCAGCATCCAGGCTGAAGGAATGCCTCCCAGGGGCACATCCTTTTCTTTTGGCGAAAGAGAGGAGCAAGAGCCAAACTAAATCAAGCATATTTAAAACTTCTTTTCAGATTTGTAGAACATCATATTCCCTCACATTTCATTGCCTAAACAAGTCATCTGTCAAGGCCTTTGTCAAGGCTCATTAATAAGATACAGGAGTACAGATGGTCCCCTACTTAAAGTTCAACCGAACTTTTCAACTTTACAATGGTGTGAGAAGTGATACACATTCATTAGAAGCCATGCTTTGATTTTGATCTTTTCCTGGGTTAGCAGTATGTGGTAAGACAACTCTCTTGTGATGGCTGGGCAGCAGCACTGAGCTGCAGCTCCCCCTTAGCCATGCAGTCACAGAGGTAAACAACTGCTACACTTACAAGTGTTCTATAGCCATACAGTCATTCTGATTTTCACTTTGAGTATGCTACTCAGTAAATTACATGAGATATTACAATACTTTATTATAAAATAGGCAAAATCAGATGATTTTTGCCCAATCATAAGCTCAGGTAGGTGTTCTGAGCTTAGGCTAGCCTAAGCAATGATGTTTGGTAGGTTAGATGTATGAAAGCATTTTCAACTTACGAGGGTTTATCGGGACATAACCCCTTCATGAAGTCAAGGAAGATGGATACACTGGGTTGGAAGAGGGAGAGATTTACTGGACAATCTTTCCTTTTTTTTTTTTTTTTTTTTTTTTTTTTTTTTTAGGGCTTAAAGTTTAGCTTTTCTAGAGACAGGTCCTGAAATTCTAGATTCTGGTTCTCTTTCATTTCATTTTCAACATTTTTCATTGTTTTTAAAGTGACCAATTCTTTCAAATGCATCCAGTAGCTACCAACACACACTACTTGAATTTTGCTTTCCAATCTCTTGTAGAGCAGGGGTTAGCAAACTTTTTCTATAAAGGCTTAGTAATATTTTAGGCTTTGGAGTTGACAGAGTCTGTCTTATAGCTATTTAACTGCCACTGTAACACAGAAGCAGCTTCATACAGTAGGTAATTGAATGGGCAGGACTAATAAAACTTTGTCTTTGTAAAAACAGGTCTTAATTTGTCAACCTTGAGCTTCAGATTCATTGTGCAAGTGCAGTGCCTTCCAAGTTATTGCTAGTGGCAGTATCATGAGATAAATGTATTGCTGTTGTATAACCTGCATCACCTTTCCAACCTCTGATATTCTCTGCTACCCGCTGCTCAAACTGATAAGCTGTGATCCTGTGTTTAAAATTATAACACCTCACTTCTGGCACTAATTTCAGTGTTAGGATAGACTAATATAAAGGAAAAACATTTCTATGTGTCTCCTTTACTCTTACATTATTATATCTGACACCAAATATGTGGTAGTTTTTCCCACACCAAACAAGTCTCAGATTATCTGGACACCAGCTGGGTATCTTGTAATTTAACTAAATCTTGATATTACCAGATCCAACAGGTTAAAGGGATCAGTCCTACAAGTGCTTGGCTGTTTAAATGCCAGTCACAAATTCAGGTTACCTGTGGTTCTGACTTCCTGGCTATAATTCAGAGGTCCCTCCCTCCTCAGGCTCAATTAATTTGCTATAGTGGCTCACAGAACTCAACAAGAGGTTTTACTTACTGGATTGCCAGTTTATTACAAAAGACATAGCTCAAAAATAGCCAGATGGATAGATGTATTGGGCAAGGTATATGGGAAGAGTAACAGTTTCCATGCCCTTTCTGGATGTGCCATTCTCCCAGCAATTTCACATGTTCACAAATTCTCCTTACCAGTCCTTTTGTTTTTTTATGGAAACTTCATTACATGCCAGATTTGATTAAATCATTGGCCTTTGATGATTGAACTCCGTCTTTAGTCCTCTTCCCTCCCTGGAGGTTTGGGGTGGGAAATGCTAAAAGTTCCAACCCTCTAATTACTTTATTGTTTCCCCTGACAACCAGCTCCCATCCTCTGGAACTTTCCAAAGTCACCTCATTAACATAAACTTAGGTATGATTGAAAGGCACTTTTTTTTTTTTTTTAAGAAAAAGCACGAGTGGAAGGGAGGGGAACAGAGGGAGAGAGAGAGAGAGAGAGAGAACCTTAAGCATGCTTAAGCATGCTGGGCATGGAGCCAGACACCTGGAGCTTAGTCTCATGACCCCTGAGATCATGACCTAAGCCAAAATCATGAGTCCATGCTCAACTGACTGAGCCATACAGATGCCCCCAAAATGCACTTCTTATGAAAAACAAAAGGCTCTCCTTTCTCCTTATTGCTCTTATCTCTTAGGTAATTCTAAGAGTTTTAAGAATTCTGTGCTAGTAATTAGGCCAAATACCAAATATGTATTTCTTATTATAAATCACAGTGTTACAACTAGGCTTTGCCAAGGTAACAGATAAACCCTGAATTCTTAGTAGCTTAACACAACCAACGTTTATTTTCCATAATACATGTCCAGGACAGGTCATGGTGGGGTAAGGACTTTGTCTTACATTAGGTGCTCAGCAACCTCAGTAGTCTGACAGAGGGTCTACTATCTGGAATGATAACTAATCAACAAAGCAGGGGAAGAGACAACAGGATGTTGTGCAGTGGCCCTTCTCTTCTTTGCTCCCACTCCCATCCTGTTGACTAGAACTAATCACGGTTAGGTCTTACCTGTAAGGAGGCTGAAAAAATTGGGGGGCAAAGTTGGAATATTAGGTTACTTCTACTACTTCTGCCATAAATTTATACAAATTCACTTACTCTTCTCATACATAGTTTGAAACACTGTTACATCTAGAAAGGTATAGATTCATATACAAGGTTGAATTTCAGGTAATATTCTTTGAAGCATTTTTTTTTACTTTTTTCTTGATGAAAAAATATTTCTTAAATTGTATTTTGCTCTTAATCTTGCCAAAATAAAGTGTTTTAAGGTTGGAATCTTATTGCTAAGCTAGAATGCAGTAGTATAAAGAGCCATTAATCTTTAACCATCATAGTAAAACACTGAAGTAGTATCAAAGCTTACAATATGTAATTCTTGAACTAGCTCTGTTACTTTGCTGGGATAATGTATTTTGTAAATAGTATACAATTATGTTTACAGAATAGCAATAATGAAAATTTTCATCTTCTATTTCACTAAGCCTGTTGATCTCTATTTTTAATTTGATAAAACCCTTAGATTATATATCTTCTAAACCCATTCATGATCACCTATCAAAATAGGCTAAAGACAACATATGTGATTTTCTGGATATAGACATTACAAAAGTGTGAATACTATCTTTCAGGCTGCTTTTTTTCTTGTGTATTAATCACTGGTATTTAACGTTATATACTGCTTGTCAGTACCAGTAATGGAATATTTTTGTGGTGTGGATATACTGTGCTTGCTTTCTTTGGTTTCTTGGTTCATAATAAGATTCATCAGGGCTAACAGGCAAAGTGTGTTGGACTTGAAGTCATGAGTGTTTATGCTGCTGCCTTCCTTTTAATTATCATAGCACATAATTCCTAAAGGGTAGGATTAGGTAGAAAATTCTCACAAGGACATCATTTAGTAGCATCAACAGCAAGTAATTTTATGGATTAGTGGCACCAAGACAATGGTATCCTACTTCCATGGGCAGACAAAAATTTTATGAACAAATTTGTGTGATTTAAAGTGGGAATCTAGTGATAGAAAAGACTGATAATCATTTCAGTCCTTTAGAACTAAAAATCTGCCAGTTTGAAAGATAAAGGACATTTGCTTGGATTGACATGGAATAGCCCATTATTGACTCGTAATATCTATATAAAGCTTATTGTGAATTTAAAATGAGATTTTTAAATTTTATTTTAGAGAGAGAGAGAGTGCGAGCTTCTGTGCTAGCAGGGAGAGGGAGAATCTCAAGCAGACTTCTGGCTGTGTGTGGAGCCCAATGCAGGCTTGATCCCAAGAAACTGAGATCATGACCTGGGTTGAAATCTAGAGTTGGACACTCAACCAACTGAGCCACTGGAGCATCCCTAGAATGAGACTTCTTAAAATTTGGTCATTTATAAAGGCTAACTTATGATTCTCTTTCTTTTACTATAATAACTTTGAAATACCTTTCCAATTGTTTTTATTGCACTTGATTGAAAATTTCTAGCTAATTGTAATTTCTAGAAACTGAAAGATAAATATCTCTAATATGTATGTATTCATAAGTGAAAAATGCCATTAGGCTAAATTCTCAAAATTGCCTGTTACGGTGAATTTGGGCAGTGATATTGATTATAATGAGAGACATTATAACAGTTATCATGAATTGTTTTTCAAGTGATCTAATGGACACGTGGGTGGCTCAGTCAGTTAAGCATTGACTCTTGATTTTGTCTCTGGTCATGATCTCAGGGTTGTGAGATGGAGCCTCATGTCGAGCTCTCCACAGAGCAGGGAATCTGTTTCTAACTCTGTCTCCCTCTCCTTCTGCCCTACCCCCTGCTCACTCATAACTCCCTCTATCTCAAATAAATAAAATCTTTTTTAAAAAATTATTCTAATTAGCTTGTGAACTATAAAATATTTGTATATACCATAGCAGTCATTTTTTGTTTTTATATTTTTAAGGACTTAAAGCCCAGTAATATAGTGGTAAAATCAGACTGCACTTTGAAGATTCTTGACTTTGGACTGGCCAGGACTGCAGGAACTAGTTTTATGATGACACCTTATGTAGTGACTCGCTACTACAGAGCACCTGAGGTCATCCTAGGGATGGGCTACAAAGAAAACGGTCAGCAAACACTATTTACTTGAAATACTGTTATTCGCTTTTGTTTATCAGATTGCTTATGTAAATATTTAAACTTAAGTGGATAGAGTTAAATGTATCACTGAAATGTTTATCACAAATTTGAAAGTAACTATAAATTTTGTCATAAATGTTTAGAAAAACTTGGGGCCCCTGTTTATTTAAATATAAGTACATAACCATCAATACTACAGCTAGACAAAGGATTTGTTGCTTTGGCTTCTGAAACAGAATATATGCCATTTGCTTGCCTGTAACTTGAAAGTGAGTATTTCTAACAGGGCTGAAGTATATGGTGGACTGACAGTTCTTTAGTAATAATACTACTTTGCATAAGTGATATTTGAACATACTTCCAACCTTTTGAAACTAAAGTTATAGCACCTAGTGTAGACTTCAAGAGCTATAGTGAGGCCATTTTGCAAAGCTGATGGATGATTAAAGTGATCTTTTAGAAGCAGTGCTTCATCAAAGCCTTGTGTCCACCCTAAAGAAATGTCATTATTTATATGTACGTATATTCAATTATAGATTTCAGCATTAGAATCAAGTTTGAAGGGACGCCTGGGTGGCTCAGTGGTTAAGCGTCTGCCTTCAGCCCAGGGCGTGATCCTGGAGTCCCAGTATCGAGTCCCACATCGGGCTCCCTGCATGGAGCCTGCTTCTCCCTCTGCCTATGTCTCTGCCTCTCTGTCTCTGTCTCTCATGAATAAATAAATAAATCTTTAAAAAAGCAAAAAAGAATCAAGGTTAAAGAAAATTAACAGGCATGTAGTTCATATACCTTTTAAAATGTTACATACATATATGTGTATATATACACATACGTGTAAGTTAAGAAATTTTGTTGAAACTCAGATTTTTAAGCTATAAATAAATCTATACCAGATGATTATGAGCTTAAACTATAACTTTTAAAATGTGGCAATTTCATCCAAAATACTCCCTAGAATAAGACCTAGGGTACCTAAGGTGTGTTTTTTTTGTTTTTGTTTTTAAGCAAGGAATCTGGAACAGAAGTTCACTTTGAATCAAGAAACTGTATTAATTCAGTCTTTAAGATTAATTTTTATAAAAGATGACACTAAACTGAAGATTTTAGCTTAATTTCCTTTGCTTTTCTGAATTAACTAAAAACAAATACTTTGACTATTTATGATTATTCTTTTCTTTAACATGCTGTTCTGTTCCCATACTGTCTAAAATTGTTTTATATGTTAGACTTCACAGATTTAGATTTCGTATTAGACTCTTTTCTTTTGAGAAATGAGATTTCCAGTAACCAGCATGAAAACTGCTTTTGCATTTGTTGTAAAGCTGTCAATTGTCACAGATACTGTGTCACTCAATGTCCTATAAATGTGATCTTGGAGATAGTTTCTATTGGTGCTAATTTCTGGTAGAAACTATCATATAAAGAATTGACATGCTTTCCTGTCTTAGGAATTTTGCAGATCACTTTATTGCCCTTTTTTGGCCTCAGGAAACGAAATCAAATGTAATGCTTGATCATGATAACATTAGTAATAAGGTTAGAACAAGAACTTCCTTCTTTTAGTGACACCCCACCCCCACTAGTTCTAACAACTTTGTTTTGTCTTTTATTGCAAGCTACCATAAGGCTTTTTACAAACTGTGACATGATAACTATATTTAAACTGCCTAATAGATTAAGCAGTTAAACCGTTTAAAGCTAGTTTTGTTTGAATCAGGCATGCTCTATTTTGAGAAGTCTTCCCTAACCCAGGCAATATCTTCTCTTGTGCTTGCAGCTTTTGAAATTTGTTTAAAAACATGTTTTTCTTAAGGCTACCTACATAAATTGTGTCCTGGATATTTAACTGAAGTTTACCATTCTTTAAAACCTATAGGGAAATTTTATTGTAGTAGTTTGTTTCCAAAAATAAAAACCCCAGAAAAAATGGTTTTCTGAACTGATTTATGAGTATTAACTTTCCTCTAAAATTGTATTCTTGAAAGGTGAATCATGAAGATTCATATGAATTCTAATAAATTTTAGAGAAACTTTAACTCAACAGGATTTCCAAAATTTATTCCCACCTTTGTTCCTAAGATTCCATAAGGAGCTGGTAGTCTCTTTATGAGTATATTGGAAAGTACAGACTTCTCATTTCACAAGTCCACCTATCTCTAACACTTATTTCTTTCCTTTCTTTTTTTGCCTGAAAAAGGACCTTGAAACTTCAAAAACAAATGCAAGTTTCTAAGGCTTTCTTTTTAAATTGCTCATTCTTCCCCTCTTCTATTAAACTGCAACCACCTACTCTCCTTTATTTTAATTGAAGTATACAGTAGGCATGCAATATTATATTAGTTTCAAGTGTACATTGTAGTGATTCAGTGTTTATACACATACACACATATGTATATATATATTTATATATAGTGAAGCAGTCATCACCATATGAATCTACCTCCTCTCTTTTTTTTTTTTTACCAAATTTACAAACCAAAGACATAAAATATCAGGATGTATTAGTGAAACAGGTAGAGATCCCCAAATTGCCCTTTTCTTTGTTTAGCTGATTCTTTTCAGCATTAATTGGATTTCCCATTAAAAGTTGATGGGAGTCAGGAAGTCAATAGGGAGACTCTTTGTAGATAATAAATCTGTGGGAACTTTCATATTATACCCAACTAAAACTAACTTCTTAAACCAAAGCAGTTTGGTTTTATGGGCTTAAAAAACTTTAGATGGAAAACATAAAATATACTTCTTTTACTAAGGTTTTTTTCATTGATTATTTGTTCATTCTCTATGCACTTGTTCCATTTGGAATAGTAGGGTAATTGTAGTATGACATCAAGAAAACAAATGACTTTCATTTCAGAATAAACATAGGACTTCTCAAATAAATTTACCCAGTTTGAAACCCAGTTTGAAAATTTCTGAAGAGCTTTTGATTAACTTTTTAACTGTAATTATTCATAGAAACGCATTCTTTCTGTTAAATATTTTAATATACTAGATTATTTCCGCTCATGCTTTTTTCTTTTATTTGACTTAAAGAGAGAGTATAATGCACAGTTGAACCTCAAAATAGTATCAAGATTTTATTTAAATTTTGCCGCCTCATGTTCATTTTCAGCCTTATTTGCAAAGATGTGTTTGATTCTGTTTCATATTTTATAAACAAATTTATAGAGACAAATGTATAGGTTTTTCAGTTATGTGATTTCTGTGCATAGCTCTCACTTTAAAATTAGATATGTAGTTAAAAGGCTACACTTCACATTTGCTTTTGTGAATCAAAGCCTTTTGAAAAATATTTTGTGTTTTAAATTATTCCATTAGCTAAAATTAAAAGCACTTTTTTCTTTTTGTGATGTTTTGCAGTTTTTATATAATGCAGTCATTTATGCTTCTTTGATTTTAACGACCTTTTGCTTGCTTTTCCTTCTTTTGTGCTGCAAACATATAGTGGATTTATGGTCTGTGGGGTGCATTATGGGAGAAATGGTTTGCCACAAAATCCTCTTTCCAGGAAGGGACTGTATCCTTGTGCTGCTGCAGCAGTTAAATTAGTTAGGTGATGAACTTCCTTCTGTTCTCTAATGAAAATAAATATGGCATATTCATATATATGGGCTTCTTTAAACAGATGTAAAGTTTGTGGCTGTTATAGTTCAAAAATTGTTGAGACAAGAAGCTGAAATATTTGTAGGCTGCATTTGGCAGTAGGACATACAGTCTCTGCTGGTAGTTAGAGCACATTCACTGTCACTCATTTTTATTTTATACTGCTTTCTATAATTTTAAAGTATACATGGTGTATGTAATTTTTTTTAATGTTTAATTTTTTTTTAACCAAAATCTTTATGTTAATGTCATTGCATTTTGTTTTCAGTTGACATTTGGTCAGTTGGGTGCATCATGGGAGAAATGATCAAAGGTGGTGTTTTGTTCCCAGGTACAGATCGTATCCTTATCTTTGGCCTAAAATGTAGTTTCTAAAGGTCAAAATGTATGATAGCACTTTAACTTGGTCAGGTATAATGTATTTTGTCTCTCCCTAATAGTAAAATATTGTTAAACTACTCTTTCAAAATACCACCTGCTATTTGACATAGACTTTCCTTTCCCTCATTTATTAGTTTATATATAAGTTAATTCTTACAACTGCTAAGTGAATTACCCATAATTACTTGCTGGCTTTGAGTTGATTTATTTAACCTAAATCAAAAATCATGGCTTGCATTAAAATTTCTAATAATTATACACTCGAGTGAGCCTAGAAGTACTTAGGACTTAATACAAATTTTGGAATTGTCTGTTGCTTCTGTTCATCCTTTTGTTTTGTTCCCCCAACCACCTCCTCTTTTGTTACTGTTCTGTATGTTTTGCATCTTTTTGGTTGTTGTCTCATTTTTCAACATAACATACTGATTTTTTTCATCTGAGAATTTTAGCATAATAGTTTTATATGGTGGTGAGTAGATTTGGGTTCATTCTTTTTGTTCATCTGACTGATTTTAGTTTTATATTAATGGTGGGTGATCTGTTACTTGTTTATCAACTAGTAACACTGAGGGAGAATGGGAAAAGCTATACTCCCTGGGCTAAGAAAGACTGAATTAGTCTGCAGAGAGGACTTGGAGTATGAAGACTAGGACAAAAAAGACCAGGGAATCATAACCTTATTAACAACTTATCAAAACACAGACTCATTTCTTAAGTTTCAGAGTTTTAAAAATATTTTAATTAAACATAAGCTAAACAAAGAATGACAAAAGAAAATGGCACTTTTGTTAAAGCCATTATTTTTATTGTTACTGGTTATTTTCTGTTAGTACAGAAAACGAAAGGACAGATTATAAGAAGTATTTCTTAACCTCCCAGAAATGCATTCACATTTTCTAAGTTGAAAGAAAAGACAGATTTTATATTCTAGAAGTGTGTACAGTTTAAATTTAGAGTCCCTGTGGGTAGTAATTGTCGTTATTCCTTGAGTCACTTATCCTTTGTTTTTAGAATTTGTGGGTTTAAGCTTCTCTTTCTATGGTAAAATCAGTATTAGTAGACATACACACACACACACACACACACACACAAAATAAGATTAACAAAGCTTATCTGTTGATCCTTTCTATCTACAGTCATTGCCTTTTACAAGGTGGCTATAAGACAGAAAATTTATAACTGCCACATTCTTTCTTAGAATTTTTTAAATTGCCCATTTATTGTTATTTTAATATAGACATGGCTAATGTATTGAACATTAGTTACAGAGTATTTTTCTTAGCTACTTGATATTAGATATTGATCAGTGGAATAAAGTTATTGAACAGCTTGGAACACCATGCCCTGAATTCATGAAGAAACTACAGCCAACAGTAAGGACTTATGTTGAAAACAGACCTAAATATGCTGGATATAGCTTTGAGAAACTCTTCCCCGATGTACTTTTCCCAGCTGACTCAGAACACAACAAACTTAAAGGTACTTTTTATAAATATGTATATTTATTCAGTTTTGGGATGTGTGTGTATGTATGTTCTTAAGGGATAAAACCCAGCGTTATCTCTGAGTGGTGGAACAAAGTGAAAGGTTTGAGTTAACTTTTTTTGTTATTTTTTTAATCCTGTATATAACCTGATTTTTTAGTAAAATCTTTTTTTTAAACATACATTTTCAATAAATGAAAGTTACAATAATGAAAGTTATAATAATTTAAAAACTTTTGTTAGATACATATACATTAACATCATTATTTTTACAGCCAGTCAGGCAAGGGATTTGTTATCCAAAATGCTGGTAATTGATGCATCTAAAAGGATCTCTGTAGATGAAGCTCTCCAGCACCCATATATCAATGTCTGGTATGATCCTTCTGAAGCAGAAGCTGTAAGTTCTTTTCTTAATGTTTGAAGACTATACTGAATTAAAGTTAGGTTTGGAGGAGACTTTAATTTTAAATAAAAATAACATATATTTTCTGTTTTTTGCATGACTAGTATCTTAAATTAATGATCATATCCAAGCACCCCACACAGAAAGTTGCATCCCACTATTTCTTTCCTTTTAGCCTTGGTACGTGATGCTAGGATGTTGAGCACTTTGGGAAAACATTCTAACTAGTTACAAGACAAACTATTCTGTCCAGAGCATAGCACAGTTGTGTGATGTAAATAAAATAGGACAGTTTCAAAAACTAGAAGAAAAGAAAAAGATGGTTAAACATCTTTTTTCCTGTCGTGAAAGTGTTATCCAAAACTAGTCTCTCTACATAAGAAGTTTGTTTATGATTGATCAGTGTTTGTCTAATGATGTATTTTTGAGAATCTCTGCCTGGCTAATAATTCAGATAATTTATAAGAAATTTATATACTCTCAATAAACTGAATTATTGTTGCATTGTGTTTTTCAGCCACCACCAAAGATACCTGACAAGCAGTTAGATGAAAGGGAACATACAATAGAAGAGTGGAAAGGTAACATTCACCAGATTCTTAGAGATGAAGCTGGAAGAGCTTCTGGATCTTTATGTTGATTTATTCATGTTAAATTAAAGATACTTTCTATTATTCCTAACTGATATTTGGTAAAAAGATTATTAGTATTTTTACAGAAGTAGAAAGTAAGTTTTTTGTCCCTGACTTAATCTGAATCTCTCAGGTTCCCACCCCGACATACTGATGCTTTCTGGAATTTTTATGCTCTTTCATAGTGTATAGATGTACAAACTTGTGTTTGATGTCTCCCTCTTTTCCTCTCCCACCCTGTTTTAATCACAAATGGTTGTATACTGTGCACACTCGCTTTGTTGATATAATCATTTATCTTTGAGATGTCTTACTCCACATATCTAGCTCATGTGGTTTAATAGCTGGTTAGTGTTCTATTGTATGGCTGTGTCACAACTTCTGTATCTAACTCCTTCTTGAAGAGCTTTAAGTTGTGTCCAGTCTGTTGTTGTTACAGACAACGCCACAGTCTTCTTGTATACATGTGAGAACATCCCTGTAAGAAAAATCCTACAAGGAGATTTGCTGGCCCAAAGGATATTTTTCAAGTATTTCCAAAATTACTCTCCAAAGAAATTATAGCAGTTTATACTTCTGTCAGCACGGTTTAGGAATGTCTATTTTAGCAACTCACTTGGTCCCTTCTTTACCTGATCTTAAAATGGAGACAGAAGACCTATTATTAAGAGATTACATATATAAATAGTTGGAAAGGCTAAAGGTAGTGAGTGGGGAGATATAAACCTGAACAGGTGATCCATCTGTAAATTTGGGGTGCACCTGGGTGTTTCAGTCAGAAGCATCTGTTGGCTCAGGTCATGATCCTCAGGGTCCTGAGATCAAGCCCCAAGTCGGGCTCCTTGCCTGGAGAGGAGTCTGCTTCTTCCTCTCCCTCTGACCCTCCCCTTGCTTGTACTCTGTCTCTCAAATAAATACATCTTAAAAAAAAAAAAATCTATTCAGGAAGAATGAATTTGATTCTTCCTAGGAGTAACCAAGATTAGTTTTCTCTGAGTTAACTTTTGGGAAACATAGTTATACTCTATAGAGCCCCCCAGAATGATAGAATTAAGTAGAACCTAGTGTATCTGTATATGTAATAAGTAATGTACAAGAATATAATTGTGGACCAAAGTATGTGGTCCTGATATTTTACATATTTTATCTGATATTTTTATATATCGTTACATTTACAATAGACATTTATGTATTTCTTATAATTTTAATAGGCCACCAATTGTAAAACATATAATTCTATATCACGAAGAGAAAACACTGCCAGTTGCACTACACCATTGATTATAAGATACAACTCTATTTCATACATGTTAAACTGCAAGTGCATCTTAAAATCAATGAAACATAGTACAGTTGACTCAACAACCCTGGGATTGAGGTGCCGACTCACACACAGTTGAAAATTCGCATATAACTTTTGACTCCCCAAAAGCAACTGCTAATAACCTGCTGTTTTTTAGATGCTTTACTAATAACATAGTTAACACATATTTTGTATAATACATATACTGTATACTGTATTCTTATAATAAAGTAAGCTGGAGAAAAATGTTATTAAAGTCATAAGAGAAAATAAATTTATAGTACTATACATATATTTGTTGGAAAAAAGCCATGTATAAGTGGACCCATGCATTTCAAACCTATGTTGTTCAAGAATCAACTATATTTTCTTTATTTAAATTTAATTTGCCAGCATATAGTATAATACCCAGTGCTCATCAGGTGCCCTCCTTAATGCCCATCAGGTGCCCTCCTTAATGCCCATCACTCAGTTACCCCATCATCCCCACCCACCTGTCCTTCAGCAACCCTCTGTTTGTTTCCTAGAGTCCACAGTTTCTCATAGTTTGTCTTCCTCTCTGATTTTTCTCCATTCAGGAGTCAACTGTATTTTTGTTTGTGTGTAAAGATGTATCTGTGATTTTTGATTACTGTAAACAAGTTTACCTTTATTCTGTCTTTTTCTCCTAGTCCAAGTGCAGCTCAGTGACCCATAAACTGCTTTTTTTAAAGATCTGCTTGACAGTTTCAGCATTATAGCAGAAAAATCCATTCCAGAGCCATTAACTTACAGGTTACTTTGTCTACTAGTTAGTACTCCTAATTAGCTTTGGTTCCTCTGCCCTAATATCTTTTCACAAATGGGTGTTTTCTCTTTAAAAAAAAAAAAAATCCTCCTATTTAGAATACTTATCATTGCTTTTTTGTTTCTTTCAAGAAAAGAATCTTCCATTCTTTCCTCTATTCAGACTTCGTATTTTTCTCTTTCCAAGACCAAAAAAGATTACCATAGCAAGCAAACTTTGGTGTCTCTAGCTCTTGTTCCTTCTGACATTCCCACTTATTTTACCTTATAATTAGAGATTCTTTATCAGTTTAATTTAAGTAATTAGATTCCTTGAAATTCTGTGAACATTTTCTGCTTGGCCATTTTTCTTAGAAGAGGGTTCGTTGTTCTTATGCATTTTTCAAAGGATTCCATGATCAAAGATGAATAATGGTGATGTAGCATCCACTGGAAGGTTCTTCTGAAGTAGACATTCAGACTCACAAGGTGCATCACACTTGACATAGAAGAACACAGGGCAGGAGGGATATAATAATATCCTCAGGGCAGCATCTGGTATCTCTTCAGTTGGAGCACTGCTTATAGCAGTCCATTCACTATACAGAAGTCTAGTAAAAAGGATTCCCATGGAGAAATCTGTGATAGCATGTCATACTTCAAATCATAAGGAGTTGAAGGGTAGCTACCTGCTTTTTTAAAAAATAAAAACATATTTATATTCCATTCTTATTAAAGAAGCTTCCATACACACTTGCATTTAAATCTTATAACAGATATCTAATAAGCACCTACAATGTACCAGTACTATGCGACAGCTCAGGAATTAGATGTGAATAGGACAAATGTGAGACAGAATTGAGCATTTGTCATACTATGTGTAGAATGACATGGTATAGTACAAAGAACTGGCGGAGTGAAAAAAGATGAGGCTTCCAACCCTAGCTCTATCCTTAACCGAACTTTAGGTGTAGATAAGCACCTACAATGTACCAGTACTATGCGACAGCTCAGGAATTAGATGTGAATAGGACAAATGTGAGACAGAATTGAGCATTTGTCATACTATGTGTAGAATGACATGGTATAGTACAAAGAACTGGCGGAGTGAAAAAAGATGAGGCTTCCAACCCTAGCTCTATCCTTAACCGAACTTTAGGAACATTAGTTATAGCAGAGATTTTGTTTCTTTCAATATAGTTCATGGTTCAGGATCAGGGAATTGTGGTTAACACTTTTGAATCTTTGACGATTAAGGGAGTTTTTGCCATTGAGAGGACACTATCAGAAATAGTTAATATGTGTAAAAATGTTTTACTTAAAACATAGAAAACTGTGAAATTGGCTCTTAGACTTTGAAAAGTTTATTTTTGTTCACCTTTTTTTTCAGAGTTAATATACAAAGAAGTTATGGACTTGGAGGAGAGAACCAAGAATGGAGTTATACGGGGACAGCCCTCTCCTTTAGGTTGGTTACAATATAAGCTTGGTTAAGGTTATACAGTTTGCTTCTTCTGTTGTAATCTTCAGTTGCATGAATCCTGTAGTTTTCCCCATATTTACTACTGTTATTATTGAAAGTTTTAAAAGTATAGGGAGTATAATTTGGTTAGTTCAATTTGAAAGCACTGATACACTATTGTATCAATACATCATACTAATATATCCGTAACTGACTTTATAAAATATACATCTTTTTCTATAGTACTGACATCCCAATGAAGAAGAGAAATTTAAAACCTTTTTCTATTGACATTGTTCTCTTTAAAGAAGAATGTTTTCACAATTAAGTATACTTATCAGGATTTTAACACTTTACTTTGGATAAACTAAGGCTTTATTGCAAAATTTGGTACATGTGATAATAAGTTACCATCTTCTCATTTTGGTGTTTTTGATTTGTTGAACTAAGGCAGTAACATTAAAACTGCCATTAGAAATTGTTCCATCTCTAACAAGAAAAGCGGTTTGCAGGAGTTAGACATTTTCTTTTATCATAAGCTATCTTACACTTAATTTTAGTACTTGTAAAAGCATAAAGCATTGAGGGGGGAAAGTTAAATGACAGGTAACTTGTATGAAATATATACTACATGACAGGCACCTTGTGGTTTATGTACTTTTATTTCTTTCAAACCTTACCTAAGACCTCATGAAAGGGATTATTATGCACATTTTACATGTGAGGAAACTGAAGTTCAAAATTATTAAATGAATATAAAATTACAAATATATTATGTAAAAAAGTCGCTAACCTGAAGCCATGTTTACCAGTAGCTTCAGATAACCTGGTTTTTCCAGTATCCCATATGGCCTTTGGCTGGCAGCAGAGACTTTTAGCTGCAGAGGTTAGGGCAGCTTTAGGAAAGAGATGAAATTTGAATTGAACCTTGAAGGCCAAGTAGTATTTCAACAGATAAGTCTTGAATTTGAGTAAAACGATGCCATTTTAATCATCCCTTTAAAACTCTTCTACATTTTAAGAAAAAAAAAAAAAAAGAAGAATATCCTGTGGGTAAGATTTTTAATTATAGTTTCAAATGCCCATTTTGTTGTACTATAAACATATATTTGTTTAAATAATTTCTGTGGCTCTCTATAACATTTTTGGTTATATTTGTGCATCTTTAAAATTTTTTATTTTTTAAATCCTTGATCAGGAGTGCAGTCTTCTAAATTATAATGTCGATACTATTGAAAACATAAATTAATTTTGACCTTATACTTAAAATTTAGTTGTAACAAAAGCTGTGTTATAAATACTTTAATAGCTGAGTTGATTGGCTTTGTATTGATGTACGGTAGTAGCGTAACTAAATTGTTCGTGTTGGAGATCCAAGTGGGATTTGAAAAGTCCATTATTTGGAAAACTTTTATACTTCAGAATACTATCCTAAAAAAAATTTTTTTTTAGATAAAAATAAAAAAGAATACTATCCTAGTGAGTGGCACGTTCTAAGTGTTGAATGTTTGAGTGAACTTAATTTCATGAGATGGAGCAGTTGTATCTCTTCTTAATTTAAAGAAATGGCATCTTGGGCAGCCTGGGTGGCTCAGCGGTTTAGCGCCGCCTTCAGCCCAGGACGTGATCCTGGAGACCCGGGATCGAGTCCCATGTCGGGCTTCCTGCATGGAGCCTGCTTCTCCCTCTGCCTATGTCTCTGCCTCTCTTTCTGTGTCTCTCATGAATAAATAAATAAAATCTTAAAAAAAAAGAAATGGCATCTTAAAGAACACTTGACTGTAGTTATAAAATAGTGGCAAGGACAGGACTGCAGGTTTCTAGACATTTTCTGGGTTCTCAGTTATTAGCTTGCAGAGGAGAGTGTTATTTTAGTAAATCAACCTGTTATAAAAATATTCAGTTCTTAATTATATGCAAAAACAGAAGAAAAATCTTTGACAAATTAGAATATGAGATAATCACAATACCATTTCAACTTGATTTTTTAAAATGAAATATATTATTTTCCCCACTTTCCTATCTTTATTTCAGTTTGGCTAATATACAGTGAGTTTGCATGCCTTTGAGTGTATAGAGACTCACCTGAGAGGGAAATGACCCAGCTACCAGAAACGAATGATTTTCCTTATTATTGCCATTCAGATAATTCAGAATTTACTAGATTGCTTTAAAGTTCAGGGGAAACAGGTACCTTTTTTTTCATAGGTATTTGATTTTCAAATGAAAAAGTTACCTATGTAATGCATTTAAAAGTTAGTTTTGGGGTGTTAGTTAGTTAGTTTCGGGTGGCTCAGCAGTTTAGCACCTACCTTCAGCCCAGGGCATGATCCTGGAGTCCTGGGACTGAGTCCCACATCAGGCTCCCTGCATGGAGCCTGCTTCTTCCTCTGCCCCTCTCTCTCTCTCTCTCTCTCTCTCGAATAAATAAATAAAATATAAAAATTTAAAAAAAGAGGCATGAAAACGTATGTTTGGTAGAATCCTTTTATCATCTGAATATTTCAGTACAAGTCTTCAAAGCTAGCCGGGTACTGTGTACTCTTCAGTCAACAGACACATTTTGTAGAGTCTTGTGGATTGAATCTGAAGTAGGGTGTCAGGCCTGAAGTCTATTCAGTCTGCTCCTTTTATTCATTTTACTTTGTGTTACCTGTTCTGTCTCTAGTAGTTCCATTCTTTTCTGTCTCCCAGCTCCCTCCCCAGTAACCTAAAGATTTGCCTATTCTATGTCCCTGGTGATTTCCTTGTTGCTCTCAAAGGACCTTTTCTGTTCTAAAGAGTTTTATTGTTCATCATTAGACAGAATAATAGGATAATTTAAAACACTGAGATGCTAGGTACTAGAGCAGTGGTTTTCAGCCTGCTTTGTTTTTAGCTTTGTTTTTATCCTTGAGTGCTTGAAACTCAGCCCTAGAAATGCTTACTGCTCAATATGAAAACCATTGCTTTTATTCCATAAATGTATTCTTAAGAACTTCTGTATAATTTGTATTATTTAATAAGCTCAAATTTGGAATGACTCTTATTTGATCACATAGCTCAGAAGAATTAAAAAAAAATACATACTTACCTAGAACATGAATCATCTTTAACATATTTCCCATCCCTCAGTGACATTCCCTCCTATGTCCTAACCTAACTCCCTTCAAAGGATTTCTCTATTGGTTATTTATTCCTGCTACTTTCTAAAAAAAACTCCAGGTGGGATGCCTGGGTGACTCAGCAGTTGAGCGTCTGCCTTTGGCTCAGGGCGTGATCCCAGGTCCAGGGATCAAGTCCCACTTCGGGCTCCCTGCAAGGAGCCTGCTTCTCTACCTATGTCTCTGCCTCTCTCTCTCTCTCTGTCTCCCTCTCATGAATAAATAAATAAATCATAAGTAAATAGGTAAGTATATGTATGTATGTATATATATTATATTGATAAATATCCAGGAAATGCTTGTTAGCTATAGCTAACTTACTTCCAGTAAAGGAAACAATCTTCTTGTACTTTTATGTTTTATGTTTTAAAATCTTTTTTAAAAAAGATGTGCCAGGATATTATTTGGAGTTTACAGTGAAAAGATAAGTAATTTTTATTAGGGCAATAGTCTTTTAACTTTTTGGGCCATATATCCCTTTGAGATTCTCTCTCCAACAAAATGCAGTACAGACAGTTTTGCATGTTTTATCAGTATTATTCATACACAATCTAATGAGCCTTTTCAAAGCCAAGAGAAAAAAATTATTCATCACTAGAGGTAGCCAATACAGTATAGGCAGCTCGGCATGCAACTCTGTCTGCAACTGATTTGCTGTTTTGTTTCTCATAGCACAGGTGCAGCAGTGATCAATGGCTCTCAGCATCCATCGTCGTCATCATCTGTCAATGATGTGTCTTCAATGTCAACAGATCCAACTTTGGCCTCAGATACAGACAGCAGTTTAGAAGCATCAGCTGGACCTCTGGGCTGCTGTAGATGACTACTTGGGCCTTTGGGGGGTGGGGGGATGGGGAGTCATTTAGTCATTGATAGAACTACTTTGAAAACAATTCAGTGGTCTTATTTTTGAGTGATTTTTCAAAAATGTAGAATTCATTTTGTAGTAAAGTAGTTTATTTTTTTTAATTTCAAGTGATGTAATTTAAAACTTAAGTTGTGTTTTAAAACAGCAACAAAACTGTATTGTATTTTTGCTGTAATTAACTGTATAATGTAAACCTAATTATTTTATCATGGTTTAAAATTTTTGCATATTTGCTTTATCTTATGCTGCTGATTTTTTTTTTTACTGAATTTGTAAGATTTTGTTTAAGCAATTATTATGTGGTGACTTGCCTATATCATGAATTATTTAAGATTTTATAGTTTTTTTAATTAGAATTTTATTTTAAATGTTTTGTTCATGATGCTATCCTTCAGGGTTATGTGCTTATCAATTAAATAACCCCAGAGGAGTGAGGGAAAATAACCTGTAGCCAGTTGTATTCAGGAATAACTACTGTAAATGATGAACGTGTTAAAAAAAACCTCCAATATTTGCTACTTGCCAATCCTAATTTAATTATAACAGTTGGTAGGCATCCTACAATTGTTCTTTGGCAAAAGTCCCATCATCTAAATGGCAGAATAACTTAGAGCATGTCTTTGAAGATGCTGGGTGTCTACCACCACCCTCCTATTCCCCAAACCCACACAACAAAAGTAAAGTAAAAAGAATATGGTATTTTCTACAAATTTGTGGCATGCTCAAAGCTTATGATTACATAAAGTCAAGAGGATACTTCATGAATAATACATTTCAATGCAAATAAACAGATGGTTCACTTCTACTAGCTATGAGCCTGTTTTTGTACACAGAGTTAATCTACTCAGGCTGTAGGTCCCAGCAGTGGTCTAGAGTCTGGTCTTTCCCTTTCCTGCAGCCTCAGGCCCTTGGACCTTGGACCTTTTTGGTTTCCTATCACAGTGTCAGTCAGGGGAGCACCAGTTCTCAAGGTGTTTCTGGCCATTTGATTCTAACTGTAGCATAATCATATTTATACTAGCTGTTGGGAGGTTCCAAAGCCTACTTCAGTTTCTGTAGGTGATGTATCAAATGAGCAATATACCGTTCATCTGAAAATAGTAGCACACAGCCATATATAGGATATCATTTTCTAAGGACTGTTTCTTCACATTGAGCAGAGCAGGCATAAGTAGTGGTTATTTAGTCTGAGTCTTTGTTTTTTTATACCTAATTTTCAATAAAACATGCAATGTGGATGTTGAGTAGTGTAAGAATGGTGCTGCTCCTATCAAGTGTATGTTAACTGTTTACATTTTATACCTGCAGAATTCTTTCTCCACAACAAATTTTTCTTAAGTAAATGCCATTGAGGTCTCTATCTCTGAAATACATTCTCTGTATTGCCCCCAGGCACTTTTTGTTATTTTTGGAACAAGAAGGATTTCATGTAATGAACTGGGAAATGCATATGTAAGTAAGTGACAAGATTCTAGGCAGAAAGTCCATGGGAATTAATGACCAACAGGAGCAAGAACTGGTACATCTCAATATGCAGTGTCTGAGAGTTCGCTTGGCATGTTCTTCATATATTTAGTGCAAAATGCCTTTTGAGTTAGGTATTTTAGGTTATTGTTAATGTGCAATATTTAGGATTAAAATACATTAGCCTTTTTGTATGCTTTGAAATAGCAAGTTTGTTTTTGATGGTTTCCAGTTGTGAGTTCTAGCCTCTTGAAGTTATCAACCTTTTTATCAATCCCTCTTCTACTCATACAACATGGTGTGTTAATTTTATTAATAAGCAAATTAGAGTTTTGAGAATGTTACACCTCAAGTTATAGAAACAATTGGATTTGCAATTTTAGTGGAAATTTGAGCATGAGTGTGTTCTTAGTTTATATTAGTTTGGCAGTTAATCAGCTTTATTTTCCCTAGGATAGATTATTTCACTGTTGCACTTTAACAACTGACATGCTTTCAGAAGTTTCTCATATTTTATGTTTGATTGCCAGTAAGCCATCTCTATTGATACAGATTAAGCAAGGAAAACCAGGTGTTCTTACTGTATCATTTGTTGTAAATGCCAGCTCCCCCTTGCCAGCCAGCATGTTTCAGTTGATCCAGAGAAAAGGAATTCTTATTAGTCAATGCAGACTAAAATTCTTAACAAATTCTATCCTGAAAATAGTCTGTTAAATGTTAGGTGCCCTAGGTTTTTAAAATACAATATCTAAATACAACTTTCCCTCATCACATAAATCTAATAAGCTAAAGATGTACTGGTTCTTTTTATTTTATAAACCTTTTGAACCTTTAAAACATCTTAAACATTTCTGTGGTTTTTTTTTTAAGAAATTGCAAATAAGATTTCTATTAAGCAGTACTTATGTAAAGCCACCTTGCTTCTCATAACTTTGGTTTTTCAACCTTATATATTTAATATACCCATCATCTTACTGTCAGAAAATCATTTTGATTAAGATTTATTATTAACTGTTTTATTTTATTATTCAGCTTTATAGGAAAGAGACAGTAATTCTTTCTACATAGTTCTTCCTGGTTACTACTCTGTTACTTGCTAATCATTTGTAAAATGATTGTGGTGTTGGGATTGCTTAATTATGATATATATATAAATAGAGCATCTCAACTCTTTCATACTGTTTGCTGAACAGTTCTCGTTTTGTCACACACCCTTGGCTGCTGATTATTCCTGGTTTGTACTCTTCCAGGTTGGCACAGTGCTTCACACCAGACTTACTAAGAGAAATGCCAGCCTCTTAAATGAGGAGGCTCCCATACAGCCCCCTTTGTAGTATAGAGAAACTTGATGGTATGCAAAGCAGCAAACTTTTCCATAAGCCCTTGCGTTATTCTGTTCCATGTTAATCCTGTTTTGTCTAAAAAGATGAAGGTGAAGAGGACATCAGCTCTGATAGTGAGATCAGAGGTGGGCAAGTGAAACTGTTTTGGGGTTATAGATAAGACTTGGTTTACACTATCGGCCAGTATGTGCTACACATATGAAGATGTAACTACTCAGTGTTGCCTAGGCACAAGCCTGTACAACATTTTGAGATAAAGACATAGTCTGTTTTCAAAAATACTGTTGTAGTTTGTTTGTGGGTGTTGTTCATTAGTCACACATTAGCTGTAGAGTGAATGCATGAAGCCCCATGACCCCAGTAAACTTCTCTTATCAGTAGAAAAACCAAACACCACTGTTCCATGATTAGCAGCCCTCTTAAATGTTGCCTCCGTGTCTTTACATGTTAGTGTACCTGTGTTTCTATGATCTCTCTTAGGTTTTTCCTTCAGAGGAAACTGATTTTTCCTTAATAATAAGAATGATGAAGATGTAAAGGGCATTGAAGCAGAAATGTATAGTTTGGGGTATGATTAGAGAAATCACAAGGAAAACAAAAGTCCTAATTAATTTCAAACTAACTGCTCTCTTAGTTAAGTGCTCTTAAGGAGAGTCTAGTAAGAGTAACAACTTATGGCCATTTCTAGTTTAGATTCTCTTCGTTCCTGAAACTTCCGGGAAATGTTACCTGTGGATTAATTTTGCACAATGTTCTATTCTCACAATAATTTACAAATTAAACTAGATTTTTATTGAACTACCTCACACTAATTTTCTATGCTTTCCCAAGTAAGCTATTGCCCTTATTGTAAGCTCTTTACTGAGTGTGAATTATAAATGTGTGTTAAATACTTTATAGCCAATGTTGACACAGTACCAATAAGTGTGTAAAATATATATCTTGCATCAGTAAGAGAGACTCATGTGGAAAATCTTTCATTGTATATCTTAGAAAATTGTGTTAGATGTGTTCGTTGAACATTATTACTGTCTGTTTTTATAAGTAGAAACCTGCTCGTGATACCAGTCCATTCTTTACATTTTACAAAAGGAATAAATCTTAGTAAATTTTACGAAGAAATAAATTACTTTTGTAGGCCCGATATTTGGTATATTTTTGAGAAGCTCTTAATCTTTTAGCTGAATGATGAAGTTGAACTAGCTGTCTACCTGGACTGTGACATCTATTTTCTCATTACAGTTAATCCTGTTCAACGGGTTTTAAAACCTGGAAACCTGCATACGATAATTGACATTTGCTTTTCTCCCTCTATGATGCCATTCCTTCTTCATTCCTGTTCCTTCCCTGTGTTCCATTCCCTCTCCTCTCTAGAAAAAAACAAAATGGGGCACTTTGTAGGGAATGCTGAGATAATTATTGTGGTTTTTAAATCATTCATGCCCTGGTCATTAAACATGCACCACTGGAATGTACACATTGTTACCTAGTATGTTAATTGGTTATAATATTTTAAATAAAAAAGAAAAAAAGTGGTATGAAAATTATGAAATTAAGAGTTTTTTCATTGAAAATAAAATGTAGATTTGTGGCAAAAAGTTTTTCCGGCAATTTTAAGATATCCTGTGGATTGGGATTAAAAGGGTGGTGGTGTTAGCACAGGTTTCTTAGATTTGGATTTATACAGATTGTGAAGAGCTTAAAATACCATGCTGGTTTTCTGGTTTACCTAGTCTTGCTTTTCTTGAGGTCTTGAGGTCTCTGGAGAAAGTTTATCTAAAAGGAATTTTCTTTAGTGCCCTTAAGCTAGTTCTTGGTAACTATGTGAGAGCAGCTATCATGGCCACTTGGCAAAAATTAATTTAAAAGGATCTATTTCAGAATAAGTTGAGGATTTCAGCCTTGAGTATGTTCTTACCTTTGTCATGCATATTTTCTCTTTGCCTGTGCTGCTGACTAGGCTGCTCTGAGTATCAGAGTCACTCACTATATACATCCAGGATGCCTCTGTATGACAACACTCCTCTATCTTACTCAACTCTTGCTCCAGAAAACCATCTTAGCCATGCTATCCCCAACCCTGGCCTGCACTCAAACTTCCTGCTCTGAGGACAGGACTGGAAGGAGGTCTTTAACCTGATCACTGCTGCTCCATCAGCTGATGGGGTTGCCAACCTGCTGCATGCAAGCTGTTTTATCACAGTCACTGGAGAGGCCTCCGGGAAGAGACTGGGTGGCAGAAGCAGACATTAAAGCGTTGAGTCAGTATCCACCACCAGTTGGTATCCAGTATCCAGTTCTGATACCCCAGTGATGTAATACCCCAGTGACACTAAATAAAAGGGGAATAGTTCGTCCTTGTTAATCTAAGTACTCCATTTATTTTAGTATTGTACCTTAAAAAGTGCATTGACTTCATGTAAGTAAAAATTGATTTGTACTGATTTTGTGGTTTAAACTTTTTTTAGCTTTACAGCTAATGCACCAATATCTGTGGACTTCATTTGAAACTAAAATACTTAAAATATGCCTTGTTAACGTTGGACTTCTAACATTTAATTTTGTCAACTGATGAATGCATTTATGTCTAAGATCCTAAGTTGGAAGCTGGGGTAAGGAAAGATACAAAAATGGATGACAGTCTGGTCAGCCTGATTGAAATACTCTTGTGAAGAGGAACAAGAACCATGCTGAAGGAACACAGGGATTGATCAGATGAAATGAGAATTTTGCAGAGGAGGCATTTTTTGAGCCTTGGTATAAGGAAGGGTAATCCCAGGTTAAGGGAAAAGCAAGGAGGTTTAAAAGTGTGTGCATGGGCAAGGAATGTGGAATGGCCTGGCATGAATGTGGTCTATGAGGAGAATATAATGACAGATAAGTCTGAAAGACTTGAAACATTTGGAGGAATTGTCTTCATTTTAAAGGCAGTAGGAATTTGTAGTTTGTGGGAGAGTAATGTGACCAGATCTTTGTTTAGGAGGTACATGGATAGTGGGAGTAAGCTGGTTAGACTGGAGGTGGAGACTGGTGACTGGGCAGCCAAAGATAGAGAGCTGAGATCCTTTTTGAACAATAAAGGAAGGAGAGGACTCAGGTTGCCATTAGCTGGGCAAAATGGCCAAGAGTAGCATTTGGGGATGAGCCCTAAGGATTTGGCAGCACACAAGTGGTTGTGCAGGGAAAGCATATCCAGTCTATTTTCCAGTTTGTTATCATAGTTTGAAGAGACCATGATGGAACATACATCAGGTATGGCATCAGCTTGCCACTTTGTTTCAGGATGGGAGGGAAAGGAGTAATTTCTCCTTTACTGCCTGTACACCTCTCCAGTCTCTTCCATCGTGAGGTCTGCATCATCTGCCTGTATGACTCATAAACCCATTTCCATTAGTATCATTTTGTGGACAGAAGAAAAGGGATTCCTGTTG